AAATAGGTGAGGATTTACAGTTTACAGCCAGAGGCGGTCAGCCCTGGCTTGGGTGGGTGGGGAGGGAAGGGGAATGGGTTCTGGCTGCCCTGGGTCCTACCCAGCTGCCCCAAGAGCTGAGAGGACCAAGACCCCAGGCACGCCTGTGAGCCAGTCACAGCTCGGAGGGCTGGGGCATGTCGGTGGAGGATGGGCATTCTCAACTACGGAGTGTGCAAAACCAACCTCATCCTCACGGCCTGAATGGCCCCACATGGCAGCTCTGAGCCCATCTGCTTGCCCCGGGGGCTCCCTGCACTCCAGCCCCACTGGCTGGCCACCGTACTCTTTCTCAGACTTGCCTTGGTGCACGCCGCTGAGATTTCACGGGCAGGAGTGAGAGTCTGTCCATTTCTAGTCCTGCGTTTTTTTTTTCCTTTCCATCAAGCTGTAGAAAACATTTGTGAGCACCCACAGCCATTGTAAGGAAGACAACTTTATAATTTACTGTCTAAAATGGGAGACTTGAGAGTGCAGTGGGCGCTGGCAATAATTACACCAGAACTGCAGGTGTAAATTGGGACTTAAACTGGGATATGTGGTCACCTGTATGATCAGGCCACCCAGGTGGCTGTTCTCCTGCTCTCTGCACATCCCCCGCTCGATCAGTCCCTGCCTCACCTTCACCCTGCTCACCTGACCAACCTTCCCTCTTAATCATACAGCCTAATAGTAACTAGGTATTTGCCCCCTGGCCCCAGCTAGTGATTTTTCTAAGATCAAAACTATCTCCACTGTGATAGTTTATCAAAGGGGCAGCGAGGAGTGGCCCTTCTCATGGTTTCCCCAGCAACCGATGAGCCAACGTGACGTCAGTTCCCCCTGTAACTGGTAATCTCCCCTTCCCCTGCTATTGAAGACCACCGCTGTGTCCTGCCTGCTGTCTGCTGCACGCACGGCGGGGTGTCGCTTGGGACCTTGCTTCAGACGTGTGAGATCCCCCATCGATGTCTCTGTCGCTCACTCTGGGCTCTTTGGTCTTGAAACTGGGCGGGTACAGGGCTTGCAGGCCCGCGGGGTGCAGCCTAACATCACCCGAACTATAAAGATAGAAATTCTGCCATCTCCCCTACTCTTTCCCTGCCCCAGAATAGAGGAGGGCTGGGGTCAAATCCCTCCCAGTGTTCAGTCGGAGAGACCCAGAGTGGAGGGAAATCAATAAGAAAAAGTAATTAAGATTAAACCCCAAATGAAAAGCTTCCTAATTGAGTGAAAAATGTCATTCTAACTGAGTACTAGTTCACTTAGGGGCTTATCACCACCAGAAGATGCCGTGTTGCTTCCTCCAGGCTGTAGATGGAGTGAGGGACCTGAGCTGGCAGGAGGGGACTGACTCAGACCCTGAAGGCCTGGGTGCAGTTCTGGCTTCACCTGGACTTACTGTGTGGGCTGGGCAGGTCCCCCGCCCCACCCTAGCCGCAGCTTTCTCAGCTGAGAAAGAAGGGTTAGCAGTAGAAAGCGCTCAGTACTGGGTAGCTGTGGTGGGATCTCCTGCGAGTCAGTCCGCAGCCTTACTCCCATCTAACAAGGGATGGCATCATGGCTAGTAAAGCTGGGACCAGAGCCCAGGTCCCTTGGTCCTTAGTCCTGTGTTTGTTCTGTGAAACCACACATCCTGACTTTACCCCCAGAGGGAAAGGGGAGGAGAAGAGGGCAAGTGGAAATGAGGGGAGACGAGAAATCAGTCCACCAACTGGAGGCTTCCCACTGCTGCTGGTACGTCCAAACTCCCTGATGCGACCGGCCCGTGTCCCCATGTCCCCTGTCCACTCCAGACCTCTCTCCCTCCCTCAGGCACGTCACCTCAGAGCTTAATCCTGCTCAGGCTCCAGTCTGCATCTGAACATCACATCCTCGAGGAAGCCTTCTGGCCTCCGTGTCAGTTGGGACGTGGGTCCGCTGCTCTAACAGAGATCTGAGTGAACAGCGGCCGAAACAGGATAGAACTTTCCTCTGACGTAAAAGCCCTGGCTACCCGTGGCCCTGCCACACAGAGGGGTCCTGCTCCTTCTCCTTTTCCTTCCATCTCCCCCAGGGCGTCACCCTCCCCTGCAGTAGATGAGCTGGCACCCCCGAACATTCCAGAAGCAGGGAGGGCCGGAAGGGGCACAGCACTTCCTTCTAAGGCAGGACCCAGAAGTGTGCGCAGAACTTTGACTTCCATCCTGTGGGCCAGAACCTGGTCCCCTGGCCACATCCAGCTGCACGTTTTGGTGGGGGGGCAACCACGTGCCCCATTAATAGGGATTCCGTTTCTCTGAGGGAGAAGGAAGAGTGGCTATTTGGGGGCCAGTGGCAATCCCTGCCACACCTCCCAGTCCAGTAAGACCTGCCAGCTGGTTTCCACAGCATCTAGACTCTTCCTTCATCCTGCTCGTTACACTACGACCGTCACTGTTTTTACGTATTTGTAAGACACCTGTTTTACCCTCCTATAAATATGAGGGCAGGAACCATAAGTACACCCGGTGCCTAGGACGCAGGAACCGTCTCCCAATGTTTGTCAACTCACTGAGAGGATTCCATGGAACAAATGAAACATTTAGGTGTGATTCAGAGAAGGAAGACACATTTTCATCCTGGTCCCACCCAACCATTTCAAACCAGGCTGTGGACGGATTTCTCACCTGGAATTACATCAGTATGTCCTGTTAGCTCTGTCTCCAATGTGAATCCCCAGTCCAGCTGCTTCCTGACTCCCCACCCAGAAGCCACTGCCTGGCGCCTCTGTAGGAACACTGTTGTGAGAGATTGGCTTGTTGCTGACAGACCCTTTGGAAGCTTGGGGACTTGTGTCCTGGAGCCTGAAACCATGGAGGGACACAGTAGGGCTGAGCAGGGGTCAGGATGCCTGCCTCACAGCATCATGCTCCCACTTTTTAACCCCCACCACAGTTGCTTGCTCTGCGTGCCCTGGAAAGATTTATGCTTTAGCAGAAAATGCCAAGTTTTACCTGCCATTCAGTGACATACCAGATCCCCGGAGCCTCCAAATTGGAAGGCATATCAGTCAAGGTTCGAACAGAGAAACAGAACAGCAGGGGTTTGTATCAGGAGACTTACTGCCTGGAAATGACTTGGGCAGCTGGAGGGGCTGGCAGAGCAGGTCTGAAAGCCTCAGTGGTGCACCCCGACCAACCGACCGGCAGGAGGGGCGGGCTGGGACTCGGCCGAGATGCAGCTGTGGCCCCAGGTGGAACTTCGTCCTCCTCAGGAAAGCCTCCATTCTGCTTTTAAGGGCTTTCCACCGACAGAATCAGGCCCTCTCTGATGACCTAGGTTAAACTCTGTTGCTAAAAGCCAGCTGGTGATGGACTTTGCCACATCTCCAAATTACCTTCCCAGCAACGCCTAGGTTAGCACTTATGAATGAACAGGGAAAAGAGCCTCGCCAAGTTGGCACGTAAGAGTGACCATCACCAAAAGGGAGATTCCTCATTTCTGCGTGACATTCTGAGTAACTTCAGGAAGTGATAGAAACGGTGTGACAGCCCATTTCCCCAGACCCTCAATCTCTCTGGCTAGCCGCTCAAAAGCAGCACTAATTGAACTTGATTTCATAATTATTATTTGTTCACCCAGGTTTGGTTGCTTAGATACAAAGCAGTCCATTTGCAGCCAAATATTTCTAAGCTGTCCCATAGACATTATAATGTTCCAGAAATATGTTCAGTAATAATTTGTAAGTAATGGCTCCCAAAGTGAACACGTTTCTGCTCCAAACAATATACCCTGTCTGACTATTATCAACCCCTGTGTAATATTTATTAAGTAAGTAACTGCTATTCTAATGCTACTTATGGGGTATAATCTGCGTTTCCAGCAGAGTTTATTCTGCCGGTCTTCAGCAACCTTTCTGAGGCCTTTGGGATGGCTGTAGCATACTTCCCCTCCTTGATACAAAAGGAATTTAATGTCTATTTAAAAAATTGGAGTATAAAATAGAAAGATGTAGAGAAGAAAGTAATCACCCTTCCCTCCCTACCTACCACCGAAGAATATTCTTTCATATTTATGTATATACAAAATCATACTATTTATGCAATTCTGAATCTTGCTTTTTAAACTTAATATCATTTTGTGATTAATCCATGTAATTAAGTTTATGAATACTTCAGTGAGTTCATATAACTGTACCATTTAACCATTCTTTCATTGTTGGACATCTACATTGTTTCCAATTATTTACAATTACAAAGAATCTGCACACAAACTTGCAACCAGTAGATAAATAGGTTCTGGGGATCTCGTGCGCGGTCTAATGATTACAGCCAACGATGCTGTGTTATAAACTTCAAAGCTGCTAAGAGAATAGATCTTAATTGTTCACACCCCAAAAAAGGAATGATAATCATGTGCAGCGATAGAGGTGTTAGCTGTTGCTCCAGTGGTAATCATATTGCAACATGTAAGTGTATCATATTCACATTATGCACTTGAAACTTACACAGTGTCACATGTCAGTTATATCTCCTAAAAAAGAATGCCAGGAGGAAGATCTTTATGTTGATCTTTGCACACATTTATGAGTATCGCCTAGATGTTTATTCTTTGATGTGAAATTATAGGAAGAACAGGTATGAAGTATATAAGCCTTTTGACATATACCAACAAACTGCTTTCCAGTTTATTAGAAAATTTTTGAAAGATTATCTCACATCATTTGAGAACTAGAAGAGTCAATATCTTTATTTCCTAAAGAGCTTATGAGCAACTTAGTATATTTATCTTGTAATGGAAACAATTATTTGTTTAATTCCTTAAAATATGAGATACTCTATTTGTTACTGATACAACCTAGAACTTGGGTCACTTCTCTTCTTGAGCCTTAAATGTTCGGCTAGGGCACTGCCTTTCCCTGATGGCTTTCGTCTGCCTTTCCAAGTGGTATCACAAGCCAGCATGCAGTCCCTTGGCCTTATCGGTGACAAGGTCTTCAGAAGGCACAAGCCCCTCAACGCTGAGTCATCGTGTGTGAGGGAGAGGCGCGGCCAGCCGCGGTGGTTACCTTCTCCCCTGCTCCGTCCCATCTGACGCTGCTCAGGAAGAGCCTTTGAGGTCTAATTAAGGTCAGTTTCCCTGCTCTGTCACAGCGCCCTGTAAGGACTGCCAGGCGAGAATGAAGGTCCTTTTACTGAAAGACCCTAAGGAGGATGACCGTGGCCAGGATCCCTACATCAGGGTAAGTGCCCAAGGCGATGGTCCCAGAAAGCACAGCCCTGCCTCGTTAATGAAGTCGAGGGGCTGTGAGAGGTCCTGTGACAGGATGTTTTCCCAATTTTCCAAACCCTGGCCAACTCAGAACTATATTCTTTTGTTTGCAGGAATTAGGATTATACGGACTTGAAGCCACTTTGATTCCTGTCTTATCCTTTGAGTTTTTGTCTCTTCCCAGTTTTTTGGAGAAGGTGAGGTTCATCAGTCCGTGTCTGGGCACCCGCGTTTATGAGTGGCATGCACTTGGTTTCTGTGGAATCCTCGCTAGCCCTAGCGGGAGGGACTTGTTCACTACCCCGCATTTCACTACCAGACTTTAAAACTGGGATGGCACAAGCTCACCTGGCCCCAGGAGTCTGATGCTGCTGGGTTCTCAGCCTGAGCCCCTGCCAGCCCCTCCAGAGAGCCAGCTGACCCGGAGGTGGGGCCGGGATGGGGACCCGGGAGAGCCGGCTCTGCTGAGGGCACCCAACCTGCACTGCTCTCGGCCTTTCAGAGCCTTTCCTCTTTCTCCTCTCACTTAATCGTGCGCCCTGAGCTCAGCAAAGCTGCCCAGCAGGTGTTTTTTCTCAGCTTGGGCACCTTGGCTGGTCCTCCAGCACATAGAGGGGAGAGTTGGGACCGCTGCCTGGTGGAGTGAGAGATACAGCCGGAGACAGTCCTGGGAAAGCCTTCCAAAGGTTTCAGGTTAGAGATTCAGTGCCCCCAGCAGCCCCCAGCAACGTGGACCCGTCACCAGGCATCTCCCCTGGGGGTCCGTTCTTGACACCCGGGCCAAAGCCAGGGTGGCTTCCTGGGCCTGGTGTGCCCAGCCCTGCCCACCGGGATCCCCGGCCGCTGTTAGCACCAGGGAGCTCTGCGCCTGAAAACCTGCCCATCACTCTTGAGAAAAGCCGCCCTGCATTCTCCCTTTGATTTGAGGGAGACTAAATTATTCATTCAACAATTTACTCAACAAACATTGGTCTGGCTTCTGTCGTGCTCCCATGCCCTGGGTTTGTGTGCTGTGAGGACGCTGTCAGAGGGCCCAAGTGGGCAGGCTTTTCCGAAAACTGCTCTAGCCGGGAACCAGAGATCAGCATGTGAGGTCGTTGCTAGGACCTCGTGGTCAGAAAAATACTGGAGTGTCCGCAGGAGCCTCTCCACCCCACTGGCCGGCTCTTCCCGTGGGGGCGTCCTGACCCCTCTGTGAAGCTCCGGGCTCGGGGGTCACAGGGGCCCTGGGCGCCAGTCCCTGGCCCCACCACTCACCTGGGGCTGGCTCCGCATTCTCTCCAAGGCTCTATGTCTGAACCTGTGCGGTGAAAATAGGTGAGCACATCTCGAAGGGTGCTGTCACAGGCTCAGTGCGGGATTATGAGTAAAACAGCCCAGTGCCCGGCTCAGAATACATGTTCCCTAGATTTTATCACCATTTCTATCCTTGAAGACCAGGGCTTCTGCATGGATATCACTCTTTGCATATTCCAGTTTTATTACAGACACAGGTCAAGTCTACCAGCCTGCCTGCACCCCAGCCAAGCCCAGGCTGAGTCACATTGCCTCCTCGGCTCCATTATACCCGCCACCTGACATTGCTGTGGCCTGTCTCTCCCCAGGACCATGAGCTGCTTGAGGGAGAGGCTGTGAATTCACCTGTCAGTCCTAAAAGGCTGTAGTAAGCTCTCATGTCTTGAGTGGATGGATGGATGAATGAATGGATGGATGGATGGATAAGTGGGTGGAAGGAATTAGTTTGCCCCCTACTCTTGTGAAACGTGTGGAATTCTGGGAAATGTGGAACTTGGCCATTATATAAAATGCCTTCATTGCTATTCGGTGTGCAGCTGTCTCAGCCTGACAGTTACGGGGGACTCATTTTCACCAGCCCCAGAGCAGTAGAAGCAGTGGAGCTGTGTTTGGAGAAAGACAATAAAGCCGAAGGTAAGGGTGGGTCTGCTGTGAATTCCCCTGGACTTTTCTTTCCTCTGATTTCTCCTGTTGGTAATACTAGATCCCAGAAATAGCTGGACTTCAAGTTTGAAAAAAAATGCAATGAGTTGGCTCAAAAAGTATTTAGGTACCTGGTTACTTCATGTTTTTGTAACCTTTGGAGGGAACAGAAGATGGCCTTTCTTCTTCTAAGCTGTCTCTTAATGTCCTACACAGAAATGACACATAACCTGTTAGCCTTCTGGCGGGAGTGAGCCACGTGTCCCAGGGAGACAGGAGGCAGCACTGCCTCCTGAACGCCCAGGCGGGTGTCGCTGAGGGGGGGGTCTAAGGTTCACCTGCCAGATGGTCAGAGTTTCCCTCACAATGTGTGGTCACCGGTCCTTTCCTCCAGGGGACGATGGGAAGATCCCACAGCACCTGAGAAAACAGTCCATGCAGTGCCAGGCACCTGAGAACACGATCCCCTCCCAGTCCCTCCTCCTGCCTCCTTCCCTCGTCATCAGAGCCCGGTTTAGTCTGTTCCATCAGGCAGCTTTGTAACTGACATTTGTGGAGTGCCTGCCGTGTACCGGGCTCCGTGTTAACTTTGCATGCATGCTCTCGTTTAATCCTAGACCAGGCACACCTACCGTGGTCCTCATTTTACAGATGAGAAAACTGAGCCTTGGGGAGAGTCAGCACTGGTCCGAGGCCATGGAACCAGTCAGTCAGGACAGACCAGCTCCAGTTATACCAACGATTGGAGGCAGCAGGGTGGGTGGTTACCCAGAGTGCGTGGCAGCCAGCTAGGCCTGGGTGCAGGTGGCCGTTCTGACCCTGGCGAGCTCCTTGACCTCCCGAGCCTCAGTTTCCTTGTTTGTGAAGTGGGCACAAATATACCTGCATCCCAGGGGCATCACTTCTCCTACTAGCGAGAGCTTCCCGAGGGCCTAAATGCTTTACCCCCGAGGTGGCGGTGATGAGCGTTTCCACTTGACAAACGAGGAGCCTGAGGAGCAGGGGGTGTGAAACTCTCCAAGCCCACATGGTCTGTAGGCTGCAGATTAATGATTGAGTCCTGCAGAGACGCGTTCAGAGCATCTCCTGGCGCGTGGCAGGCGTTGTTAGTGGCCGTGCTCAGTGGCCATTCTGCTCTCTCTTCACAGTTAATTAGGCTTTCATCGTAGCCAGAACATCCCCCTCTTGGTGTCTCGTACAC